ATCTGAAGTGCAGGTAAGAAAGGGGGGGGGATAACAACAGAACATTCTGATAACACTGACAGGGTGTGACCATTCATCTCTAATCTACGTACATGTGAATTTACACACAACTCATTAATACTGCATTATATTTCATGATTGCTGATTTTGATTAAATAAAGAAAAAAGGTAGGGGGAGGGATCAATTTGACTTGACAAATCTGTCCTCGTCATTCACGGACAATGTTGGAAATACAAACGACTTCTTAAAGTTATCAACAATACCCGAAGATTTGGCATTCAACAGATTCATAAATAACAATTCAGATTACAACTTCCTAAATATATTTACCACCAATAAAACAATTATTAAGGTTTTATAGCTATTGTCTGTATAAAAGTCACAACTATATTATCATGTCTATGTGGGTTTATTATAGATATAATATCGATTGACTTGAGTGTGACTCGATAGGTTTGTGAAGAATGTAGCCAAGTCTGCTTTTCACAAGTGTCACAATCTGAATCATATGCAGAGATTTCAGATTGAATAAAAAATGTTATTGTCAACAGGATGTGGATTTGTACCTTGAGTCAGACAATTTTAAAACAAATCTGGTCTGAACAAGCATGGGAAGATATAATATCAATCATGAAAACATGGGAAAAACAAATTTGTTTGGCGTGGCATTGCAATAGAACTTTTATAAGTCTTTCTTGTTTTAAGTCAGTCATGTGGCAGTGGGTGCGTAGTTATGTTGCAGAGATCATTATGGGATGGCCAGCTACCATATATATATATATATATATATATATATATATATATATATATATATATGTGTGTGTGTGTGTGTGTCTATATTTCTGAGATGAGGTATTATGTACACTATTTACATTATTTGAACTATTGTCCTCATCTTTGTCATGAATGTCAGTTATTTCTAGTTAATTCACCTCTACAAGTTCTCCACTGCCTTAACCAGGTATTGAACTCACAACTCTTTCGGTCCTGTCACTGGATCTAATCCACTGTTCCATGTCCTTAAGGACAAATAGCACAGTGGAGTTGTGAGTTCAGTACCTGGTTAAGGTGGTGGAGAACTTGGAGAGGGGAATTAACAGGAGATAACTGACATCCATTAGACATGGAACTAGAACAGTCTACCCCAGTGAGAGAAATAAAGGGTTCAGTTTGACATGCCAACCACCTGAAGAAAGCCGGGGCATACAACGGCCGAAACGTTGTGATAGATATGACAACAAAGATGAGGACAATAGCCCGAATAATGTAAATAATATATATATATATATATATATATAATGATGCTTTAAAAAGAGTATGAGGGTGAGTAAGAACAGAAATTCCAGCAGAAAATATACACAGTGTCTGTTTCTGCATGGGTCTGACACTTCCACACTGACAGAAAAACAACAAAGCTTGATGTGGGTATCACTAGCGTGGCACCTGGAGTTGGTAATTATGTTTTTGCCTCAATACTGACAGACTTTGTTTTTTTTTATTTTGTCTGTTAGAGGCATTACTGTTGTTTCCACAGTAGTAATTGTATGCATGACAAATTATATATATATATATATATATATATATATATATATATATAGTAAGGTAAAATGATAAAGAGTAAAGAAAGATTGTATAATATGTAGATATAATAGATCGATGAGAGAAATTCAAGAGATAAGAAAAAACATATTGATAATAAAACTAATATTTATTATATATTACTCAGCCTGTTAACCAAATGGAAGGTTAATGAGAAAGATTTTAAAAATCAAAATTTTCAGTCATACCTGTGTCCTTTCTCAACAAGATGAGAAATGGAAAAAAAAAAAATATATATATTTTTATTGCTCATCACATTTTCAGACCCACCTGTGCCTGAAAATTCTGATTTTTAAAATCTTTATCAAGCTTCCATTTGGTCAAAAGGCCAACTAATATACAGTAAATATTATTAGTCTTATTATTGAAATTATTTTTTTTATCTCTTGAATTTTCATTATTATATATATATATATATATATATATATATATATATATATAGATATTATTAGTGGAAAATATACATACATAGAAAAATATATCTAAAAATTCCTATACATGTATATTTTCAAAAAAAAATTTTTTCAAGAGGAAGGATCCAGGTAGAACTCAATGTCTAGGACAGAGTAAGGATATAATAAAAGGTTTAAACACTAATATTCCATGGTCATAATTTATTCCATTGGAATCGTAAATACGATTCCAATCGAATAAATTATGACCATGGAATATTAGTGTTTAAGCCTTTTTATTATATATATATATATATATATATAAATAAATAAATCCTAAAAAGCCAGGAAAACATACCTAGGTTTCACCTAAATGGAGCTTCAGGGTAAGCTGACTAAAAAGGATATGATGAATCAGTATTTATTGATAAACCACTAAAAACTAATAAGCATAAAACCACGTAACAGAAGACAAAATAAAATAATAAAAAAATAAAAAAAAAACTCCACTTAGCCTCTATTCCAATAACCAGGATTTCCTATGCCTACACCTATTTAAAATCTCAGATCTTTGATTTAATAAATTATTAGGTTCATCGGCGGTGGATATTGCTAATTTTTCATCTTTACATAATGAGCAATACTTGACTCCTGCTTTATACTTATGGCATTTTTTTTTTTAATATTTCCCATTTTAAAAAGAGGGTCACTACCATCTTCTTGTTTTATATTCCATATGTATGTGGACAGGCTGGTACTATATTTGTAATTTTCATGCTTAAAGCTACTGATTGTAGTAACATTTTTTGAAGTTACCTTGGGTGGATCCTACGTAAAATTTGGGGGTTCTTATCAATATTATTCTATTTATTTCTGTGTATTTCGACTTTTTTTTCCAACCAAGCATTTATATATATATATATATATATATATATATATATATATATATATATATATATATATACATGAGAGAAGTATTATTTGCAAAAGAAAAGGAAGAAGATACTATTTTCTTACATGTTCTGTGAATCTTTTACTCTACTCACAAATCCAATGGCTCCAATTCAATTTCTTTATAGATATCCCAAAAATCTCTTCTGTTTGTCTAATTATTTATTCTGAGATGTCTACCGCTAAACATAATCTCTGGTCACAATAAACTCATTTAAGATACGAATATCAGTCCAAACAAATGACAGAAGATATTTGCACGTGAAGCTGGAATTATACATTAATTACAACTGCATCTCCCATTCCAGGATAAGCGGAAACTGCTTTAAATCATTTTTTCTTTCTTTTTCTATTATTTCTTTACAAAGAAAAAGTAACGAGTAGACTGATAGAAAATTCTATTTCCCTGGCAGTGCTGAAAATAGTTGCTAGCCAAATCAAGAGGGCTTCTTACAAGACAAACAATAAACTCTTTCTCTCTCTGAGGAAAAGAAAAAAATACATTTCTCAAGATTTAAATTTTTACTTGTCAGCTTTTTTTTGTCTGAACTTTAAAAAAAAAACAAAGAAAATAAAAGAGTCATGCTCACAATTCTATAATAAAAAAAAAAAAAAAAAAAAAAAAACAAACATTGTAAAGAGTAAAAGCCAGGAAAATGTACGAATGTGTTAGAGGACAAGTGTGTATTTTAAATGAATAATCGGTGATAATGTGATATTTGATTTTTAAAATCAGAAATTGCATTTCTTTAGTGGAAATGCTCAAAGGAATCTTTTGTTTGATTGAAAAATTTTTCCACAATTTTAAATGGGCTTATATTGAGGAAGTTTTATAGGCAATCATCAGAGATTTTGGAGGAGTTTCAAGGAATGGAAACCAGTCTCAGATGGCTAAATTCTAAAAAGTATTTTGGAACTGAATAAATCATTTATTTTTATAGGAAACATGATGAGAGAGAAAGAATACTGGCACGATTAATGTAAATGGTTATTGGAAGAAGCAAAAAAAAAAAAAAAAACTTATTTTTCTTGTAGACTATTTTGGGGATATATTTTTCTAACTGCATGAATTTACAACAGAAAACAAGATGGGATATATGCATATTTAGCCAAAAACAGAGATACAGATATAGGATAATGAAAACATGGAAAAGATTTTTTTTTTTTTTTTTTTTTGAGAAAACACTGAATTTTACATCAGGATTTAAAAAAAAATAAAATATATATATTTTTAAAATTTAATATTTAATGCTAAATTACTACTTTTATATTTTTACTATTTTTTTTGTTTCAAAGAATTCTTAAAATAAATGAAAACAAATACTAAATAAATAAAAAGAAATTTAGGTTATATATTATGTAAAATATAGCTTTAAAGTATTCTATATTTATGGGTATTTTAACCCATAAATATAAAATACCTTAAAACTATATCAGGGGTAGAGCATATATATATATATATATAGAAATGGACATTGAAGTCAACACCCAGAAGCGACAGTCTGTTTCATGCTTATATGCAATCATTAAGGCCATATGCCTGACAATTGTGTTCAAGCATGAAACAGTCTGTTGCCTCTAGGTGTTGACTTGAATGTCCATTTATATATAATTTCACAGAAGTCAAAGAAAATTTATTTTTTTAAAGTTATCTTCAAAATCAGTGAAATAAAAAATGCCATTTTCTTTTTTTATTTTGCATTTGTGACATTTAAGAATTCACTTAATTTTGATATTTATAGTTTTATAATTGGAAACCAAAAAAAAATGAAAAATATTCAGAGAATCTGAAAAATGGTCAATAAAAAGCAATTTCTGCAAATGGTAAAATTTAAATGTTCATCCCAATATTTAAAGAAATAACTGACTGAGCAAAAAGCTCAGCATTTCTTTTTTTTTTTTTTTTCATAAGAAAAATAGAAAAGACAGAGACAAAAGTCCTATTCACAGAAAAAATTGAAAGAAATTTGCCTTCTTTTTTTTTAAAAAAAAAAAAAAAAAAATGGAGAGAAGGCAATTAAGGGACAAAATAGAAATCATTTACTGTAATATAGAAACTAAAAGAAAATTTGATTAACATAATCATTACTGTTGATGTATGTGTGTGTGAGAGAGAGAGAGGGGGGTGGGGGAGAGGAATGACCAGTCAGAAAAGACAAGTGGATCAAGAAAGGCTTTTCGAATGAAGCCCAGCGAACAGAGTTGTCTACCCTTACATAGTTTTCCACACATAAATTCCTGCACTAATAATAACGCCAGCTATGAGAACACCAAATGCTTGTCTCTTGGGGGTTCCAAAGTACTCCACTATGGCCTCCTGAAAAACAGAATACAAGAAAAGTATTATCATTTGTCCCTGTGATAAGAAAATTGTGAGTAACTGAATACAGGACAATAATTTCTATAAATATTTTCATGGTAATTGTTCTGATGAAATTTCCTCTATGGTACCTAGACTTTATGAATTTAAGCATAGCACTAGATTAGAAGCAAGGTCCCATTATTTTAAAGTTGAAATGGCTGCTAGATGTAACTGTAAGCTCTCTGCTAACAGTTTCTTTTCTTGCATTTCCTGTTTGTGGAAAATTCTTCTGACATTTTACTTTCCAGTTAAGTTTGATCTTCAAAAATTTAAACACAATGTCAAACATTATCTCGTCATCTTAATTTCTGTTCTTTCATTGTTCTCTCTCCTAATAATGTTTTTGTTTTTCTCATATTCTCTTACAATCAGTAACATCTTAGTGGCTTTATTGCCTTGTGTGGGGTGAAATGATTTTAAAAATACAAAAAAAAAAAAAGATGATTTCTTTTTTGGTATACTTTAATAGTTCACTTTCACACTGGAAAAGACATAACTCCATTGCTTCCCACACCAACTATAGGTTAAGTGTTCTTTAGCCTTGGATAGCAACCAAGGACTACTCACAATTCTGCTGAGTTTTGAGAAAAGAAATTATGAAAATTGCAATAATGATAAAAAAAAATTGTCATCCACACTTTTGGTTTGCAAAATAGTTTTGGGGAATTGATTACCAAAATGAGATACCCTGTAAAATCATTATTACATCCCAGAGATTTTTTTGTTGGGTGGGAGCATACTTATTATTAGTCAAATGATTAAGTAACTGCTATCAACTGACAAGTAACCCTTTGAATGCTCCTTCAGAACATTGCCGATCATGGCTCTCCTCAATTTCCCGTCCTTTCTAGCATTTAAGAAATTTTGTCTTTTGTTATTACTCCTAAATCTTGTTCTGCCATCCATTTACACAGGCTCGTTAGGTAGGTTATGCATTGTTTTCCTCTATCCCTTTTGGCTTCAATCTGTCCTGTGAGTATCAGATTTCCAAGCCCTCTTTCCTCATTATGTATCTCAGAAATTTCAACTTTCTCTTCCTGATGAGTATAATTGTCCTTTTTGTTGCCATTGTCTCTAGAACTTTGTTGTTGTTCACATTTTTGGCCCATGGTATCCTCAGCATCTTTCTGTAGAACCACATTTCTGTTGCTTCAAGTCTCTTCATCTGTGAGGAGATTGCCCAGCATTCACTTCCATAAAAGAGGACTGATATTACATAACAGGTCAGTACTCTTTTCTTTGTTTCTAATGAAATTTTGCTGTTTCTTAATATTTTGCTTAGCTTTTGGATGGCATTATTCACTATTCCAATGCACAATTACCATAAAATCCAAGCACTAATTATAGGTTTATAAAAAATCCAATATTAATAAGTTTACAAATATTAATTATAGATTTTTGCTTATAGCTATGTATCCCAAACTAAAATTTGATTTTCAATATATCTAAAATTCTTTAATACAGGCATAGGAAGGTTGACAAACCATAAAAAATGATACCAAAATTACCTTGGTAGCTCAATAAGCAAAGATGTTATGACCATTCAAAGTTCATAAAAAAAATTTTGTCTTTTGTATCTTTTTGTGCTATAAAGAGCCAATTTTAACATTGTATAACTGAAGATACAGGCTTCAAACAACTTAAAAATGTCATATTAATAGTCTTAAAGTAATGAAAAAATATTGCTAATGGACTCAATAATTCTTAGATCAGACCAGCCTAAACATTGGGAAAATTTTGTTCTCAAAAACAAAATCATACAAATATGACACAGAAGAGTAAATTTGACAAATCATATAAGTTCCATTTCAACAGTTAATGCCTTGCAATGTATCCTTATACTTCATTGCACAACAATGATGAAACTAATGTTTTTTTTTATTCAGTAGTACCTTAATTGAAAAATAAAAAAAACATATATTTACACCACATAAAAACAGAAAAAGCAAAATTTGGCAGTAGGGCAAAAACATGTAAAAAGTATGCCATTCTAAATTTGCCATAAAAAAGTATCCATTGGAGGTATATGCCTGAAACTCATCAGTAATGACGAAAAAACTTAGAAATTCGTTTTACAAAAGGAAAAAAAAATACTTGATAATCATGCTTTAAATTTCTTCAGTTTTAAAACTGATTGAAAAGACTTTCCGGATTCCATTGTGAATGAGTTTCCTGCACTTCCTGTCCTAATGGTGATTTGCCAACTAAATTTCTTTATAGGCCTCTGGTGATATGGTTAATATTTCAGGAACACTCCATATCCAGCCATCACTGGAAACTGAAGTCAAATGTTGATTCTACTTGTGCAATGTCATCTAACAAAGACCATAAGAAATAATCATTTCTCCTCTTTGTTGAAGCTAAAAACTTTATCACTGCACTGAATCAACAGACAAAGATTGGTAGTTCCTGGAATGACTGCTGTTGTTTACTTGAGAGCTTGTGTACACACATACATTGTCTCTCAAACATTTGATACTGATTTTGGTACAGTATATAGTATTGTTTTTTGTCAAGTCCTTCACTATGGCATCCAATTGTAACAGTGTGTGTAATTTATTTTAATAGTAATTTAAAAATAAAATACACATACATATACATACATATATACATACATATATATATATATATATATATATATATATATATCAGGTGTGGCAACAGTAATTCAAGGTGACAGTTTAGAGAAAATAAAATGTTTAGGGGTCAAAATGTCAGCTTGAATTTATTTTTAAAATAAATGCTTTATACAGTTTTAAAATGCATTATTAAAGAAAATATAAGAAAAAAATTTAAACTGTTTAAAATTTATTGAAACAAGTCCAATTTAAAATTGGGTTTCAGTTGGCGATGTTCATGCACTTGAGCAGCAATACAAATTTCAATGCATCATATCCAACTGTTTTGCATAAAGTGAATTTAGTATGTATACCCAGTTTTTGTTTTGGGTTGTGCGGGAGTGCAGAGATATGAAACCAACGGATTATTAAAGATGAAACATTTCTCTACAAGGTGTAAATTTCATTTTTTTTTTCTTTTCTTTTTTATGAAGTTTTATTTCTCTGGTATTTCATCCACTAAAGTTTTCAACTTAGATTTTTTTTTTTTTTTGTTAAAGACAACATCAAACCTTATGGTTCATCTACTAAATTGCCTGCAAAAAAAAAAAAAAAAAAAAAAAAAAATGGTGTGCCAAAAGGGCAGTTATTCCCTTGACACTGCTATTACTATATACATTTTTGACACCCTCGGCAATGTTGTTTTTTTTTTTTTTTTGATTAGAATTTTAAAACCCAAACATATGAAAATGAATCTATACATTTTCTTTTATCCTTAAGAATTGATAACAAAGATATTAAACACTACTTATTGCTTATTTAATCTATTGGCAGATTTTCTGTGCATTTTTAAAAAAAAATTCTCAACAATTTAAAACTTTTCAAAATTTACATTATTTGGACTATTGTCCTCATCTTTGTCGCCATATTTATTACAACATTTTTGGCCGTTGTACCTCCTCAAGGACATATGGCACAATGGATAAAGGCGTTGGTTAGATCCAGTGACAGGACCCAAATAGTGAGAGTTCAATACCCGGTTAAGGCAGTGGAGAACTTGGCAAGGGAATTAACAGGAGATAACTACTAACTGACATCCATTAAACATGGCACATAGAACTAGAACAGTCTACCCCAGTGAGCAAAATAAAGGGTTCAGTTTGACATTGCAACTACCTGAAGAAGGCTGAAGCGTAATAAATATGGCGACAAAGATGAGGACAATAGTCCGGATAATGTAAATAGTGTACATAATACCTCATCTCAGAAATATAGACAGGTACTTTTTCAAAATTGTTTCAAAAAAGATTAGGAAGTCGGGATAACCTATAATTACTCGAAGTTTCTGACCATGAATCTCTATTGATTACTTATCGTTGATCTGAGATGACAATTATAAAAAAAAAAAATTGAATATTAAGATTATGCTGCCAATAATAAATCTTGGTAGGACCTCTAGTTCCCTTAGGATGGCATCGCTGTAAACATTGAATAAATCTGGAGAGAAGATGCATCCTTGTTTCATGACCCTTTCTAATTTTTATATAGTGCTTCCCAATAAGGGCTTCTGAATATTAATCATATAAACCATTTAGAACCCATCATTTAATTATTATTTGGTTCAAATTTTTAATTCTGTTTCCTTGTTTTTTAATTTTCCTAGGTACTGTTTTTGAAGAAGACGACGTAGGACGTTTTTAGAGGCTGAGGAAACTAACAATGAAGTCTTCTGATATTTATTGAGGAAGAGTTTTCTAGAACTATGCTGAAATATGAAAAAAGAAGATAGTAATGACAATTAAAATTAATTATGAAAGTCACATTTTATGCAGTTTGATGCGTTTTTATTTCTGTTTTTAAGAAAATCAATTCCTTTTTACTGCACCACACTTAACCTCAATGTTGTCATATCAGACCTTTAAATTAAATCTTTCCATACCAAAATGGGATTTTCTCTTACTTTTACAATCATTTAATCATTATTATTAGATTCTTTGGGAAAAAAATAATATGGGTGCAAATTTTCAAACCATTTGGATCAAAATTTATTGAACTGTTTTGTGAAATAGCATCCAATTGAGAAAAATGATAGAATGTTCTGATATCTTGAAAATGGTCTTCCTGTGAATATCTGGAGTTAAAATTCTCTAGTTGTTCTTAGTTTTTTGTAGAGGAGGTTATTTTAACATGGTTTAAAAACTGCAGATAATCTGAGAGTGGTGGTGTTAGGTCCTGGTTAAAGTGACATGGAATATCCCCCTTATAGAGTGAGGCAAAATTTATGCACTATAAGGGTTAGTTAATTATGTTTTAAATGTCTAATTTGTTTTGATATTTTCTTATTTTCTGTGGTCAATTGAAGTTGAAATGAGTTGTTTATCAGACACGCCCAAGAAATATTGAGGAAGTTAAAGAAAAATTGAATATATTAAATGACAATGGAAACTCTCAATGTAAAATTTTTGGATTGGTGGTTTTAAATGAGCATAAAAATTACATTGTTTATTGAACTAAAATATTTTCTACTCAATTATTTTTGTTAATTCCATTAAGATTACAATTGTAAATTTATATATTGGGTTATTGTCCTTAATATCTGTTTTATAACCTTAAAAGACTAAAATTATTGTTTGAATTAATTTAATAAAAAGCTTTTTATTAAAGCTGTAATTATGTTGTTAGAATGCTGCTATTGTCATTGGCTATAAACAATGTTTTTATCATATTAGCCTATCTGCAATTGTAGCTCTGCATGATACATTCAGAGATCAAATAGGCAAAATTCTTGAATTAAAACATTCATTTATTTCAGTTAGCAGTTCAGTATTTGGGGGGGTATTTTAAAAGTCAACAAGAACATGTAGTGGACTGTGGGTTTTTACGTGTTGTGATATGAACACATGTGGTCTCCTGAAATAAAGTCCACTACAAATATGGCAGACTTGTGAGAGTCCACTGAAAGAAATGTAAAAAAACAACCAAGAACCAATATATATGTACAAACAGGTATATGTATTAAACAACATAAAGGGTTTACAAAAGACAAAAACATTAACGTGTGTGTGCATAATATTCATGGTGTCTTCCACAAGTGGGGACACGTACCTTCTGCAAGAGCTTTACTTGGTCATGAGTTCGCTAAAAATGAAAAGAGAAAGGGTTTTCTCACGTATATATAGTTTAGGGATGGCTCTACCAAGTGGTGATATCAGAATTTAGGAGGAGATAACTCTGACAAAGTTATTGAAAACATTTGTGTTTTATTCCTTGTCATCTTGAGTTCTTTAATTTTCTTGTTGTAATTAACATTTTTAAAATTTTCTCTTCTGCAACAGATAAAGATAGATTAATAAGTCAATAGCCTGACATATAGTTAATAGCTGAACTTTCAGATTAAATTTTAATTGTATAATGATCTATTGAATCAAGTACACTAACAAGAAAGGTAATTATTCTGAGAAATATATTTTTGAGAAATTTCTCTGATGTTCTCTGCCAATGCATTCTTCTTGGGCAACTCTTTTCCAGCTTCCTGTTTTCCTGCTACTTAGGAACTATGTAACATTAAATGCAATGCCTGTAATCTTCTGTCTCTTTTAATCCTGTTCTTTTATTGTCGGTAACCCCTTGTAACCTTGCTGCTTTTATCACTTTGCTTGGTGACAAAGAGAAAGATTTGAAATAACAATAAGTAAATGCTTTTTTCTTTTTCCTCATTAGGTTATGGGTGATTGATTTGTTTTTTGTTTTTTTACAGCTTATCAATCCTTTGCTGAAACATATTTTTTGAATTGTAAAAATAAATTTTTTTGGTTTAACCTTTGTGCCTGCAAAAAAAAAATGGTGTGCCAAAAGGGCAGTTATTCCCTTGACACTGCTATTACTATATACATTTTTGACACCCTCGGCAATGTTGTTTTTTTTTTTTTTTTTTGATTAGAATTTTAAAACCCAAACATATGAAAATGAATCTATACATTTTCTTTTATCCTTAAGAATTGATAACAAAGATATTAAACACTACTTATTGCTTATTTAATCTATTGGCAGATTTTCTGTGCATTGTTTTAAAAAAAATTATCAACAATTTAAAACTTTTTCAAAATTATGTTTTTCAAAAAAGATTAGGAAGTAGGGATAAAATAGGGTGCAGCTGGCAATGAATTTAGGAAAATTTGGTAACGGAAAATTCAGTAAATATGAAATAAAAGTTGATTGAAAATTAATTTTAGGGCTGCATTCTGGGGTGGGGATTTGTTGGCTAAACCCACTCCACTATATTTTTAAATAACTTAAAAATTAAAATCATGGGTTCCAGGTAAAACCCCACTACAGCAATACCAGGGCCATACGCAAGTATGGGGCTAGGCCTCCTCCTTCCCCAATATTTTTTGAAAAGTAATAAATATGGGGGTCCAGATAAAATCTCCCTGCAACAATACCAGGACCATACTTTCCAGATGAGGAAAGGGCTTTAGGGGCTAATCCCTTCCCCTCTAATATTTTTTAAATAAGTGTTTAATTAATTACTACACTCTATTGATTTCAAGCAAATAAAATCGATTTATCTACATTAAAGTTCTTGTATCTTCCTTTTAAATTATTAATTAAAAAAAAAAGTAATAAATAAATTAAGTTTTAGATAATTATTTCTTTTTAAAAAGGCAAAACTATATAGCCTCATTTCTTTGTAATTTTTCTTGAAGAACTTTATTCATTCAAAATTTACAACAGCAAATAACAATTAACACAACTATATTACATTTTGTTTAAAGAAAGTAAAACTAAAAGTAGCATCTTTTTACAAAAAAAAAAGAAAAAAGAAAAAGAGCAACATGTCTTAATTTATTTATAATTTGACATAAACAACCAACACTGCAATACCTTCTCAGTACAGCCATGAAGTTGAACCAACATCACATCACAGATAATACCTACAATATCTGATAATATTCCCTAAGATCTTCTAGCAGAAGGGTCTTTGCTTTTAAAAGGCAGTAGACTGTGAGGAGATTCTGAGAGAATTAGAAGCTCTACCAGGATTCATTTTTGGAGGCCACAATCTTAACATATGCAGATGAAACAAAAAGGAAACAAGAGTTCCAACAGAAGGTAGTGAAGGAAAGAGAGAAAAAAGGACTAATCATCAATTGCAAGAAGACAGAATACATGGTTGTTAGCAAAAAGGACAGCCCAAAATGCAAATTACAAATTGGAGATAACAAAATCAAACAAGTACAAAAATTTAAATTTGGGAAGTGTTTTAACAGGAGACAGAAAATACGACATCGAAATTCAAAGATACATTGGCATAGCAAAGATACCCTTCAAAAGCTAAGCAAAGTATTAAGAAACAAAAAAAATTAGTTAAAATAAAGAGAAGTTTACTGAACTGTTACGTAATATCACCCCCTCCTATATGGCAGTGAATGACAGATAAAGAAGAGACTTGAAGCAACAGAAATATGGTTCCACAGAAGGATGCTGAGAATACCATGGACAAGAACATGTGAGCAATGTCAAAGTTTTAGAGAAAATGGAAAATAAAAGGAAATTTATACTTAACATCAGAAAGGGATAGTTGAAATTTTTAGGGCACATAAAGAGGAAAAAGGGCTTGGAAAATTTGATACTCACAAGACAAATTGAAGGCAAGGGGGACAGAGGAAAACAATGCATAACCAACCTAACAAACTTGAATATATGGATGGCAGAACAGGGTTTAAGAAAGATAACAAAAAAACAAAATTTATTAAAATCTACTAAGGACAGGAAGTTGTGGAGAACCATGATCACCTAAGTTCTGAAGGGACACAGCACATGGAAATAAAGTTTTTTTTTTTCAAATAGAAACACAATGGGACTTTGTCGTTATTGTTCACTTTCTATTGCTATATTTTCACTTTTTTTATTCCATTATCCAATAAATGACATTTTGAACATCCCCCACCCCTGCAAATGTAAAGTAAAGGGAAAACAGAACAAAGATATTGTCAAAATTTCTTCTTACCCAGCCTCCTCGAGACAGGATCCAATCAGCAAGATGTTCTACTATGAAATTAATTACCCAATTGATTATTGCACGAATTAAAGGTATTTTGTCCAATGCCTGCAAAGAGAAAAAAAACACAAGTTCTTCAAATCAGGTTATCTTTAAAATTTGAAAATAATTTAAGAGTTAACAACACAGAAAGATGGTAAAAATCCATGGCAACATTTGCTATATCAATAAGATCCATAAAAATTTCTCATGAAAGAACCAAAATAGCACATTGAATGTTCTTATCACCATTGTAAATATTTCTTCCTTGTTTTGATTCTACAGAGGGTGAGGGTTTTAAGATTTTTATAACTTCATTACATTAGGTATGGATGGACATGTGGGTAGGATAATGGTTAACAACTACGAAAGAAAAATTGGCAAGCAGAGTTCAAGTTCTGACCAAGTCTACTTTCACACAAATACCAATGGAAAAGATATGAATGCATCTCTTTTCCCCACCCCACCAGCTATGGGTTAAATAGCAGAGCAGACTGGACTCTCTAGCCATTGTTGGCAACCAGTCTAGGAGAAGAGCGACTGAATTTCAAACCATACATACCTCTAGTGAGGTGCATACTATACACTCATTAAAAATATTATGGGGTTTAAAAATAATTGTGTCAAAGTGGCATAGACTATGATTATAACAGGGGCTGAATAAAAATAAATAAATTTAAGTATGGAAAAAACAAATTAAAAGTTAACAGTACATCAGAGTTACCATAAATAAAATATCCATATGATCTGGTATTCATGCTGTATATTTAGACATTCTTGATGAAATACAAACAAGAATCTGCAATATTATTGGTGCTGACCTGGCATCTCGGCTTCAGTCACTTTCCCATAGATTTCACGTGTCTTTTCTATAAATATTTTTATGGTAATTGTTTGGATGGAGTCTTCACTATGGTACCTAGACTTTAGGAATTTAAGCACGGTATTGCATTGGCAACAAGGTCTCATCAAATTGCAGTTAAATTGGTTAGATGTAACCATAAGTTCTATGCTAACAGTTTCTTTTCTTGCACTTGTTGCCTGTAGAACTTTCTTCCAGCTCCATGCTTTCCAGCCAACTTTTATCTTCAAATTTTAAATGCAATGTCAATCATTATCTACTGTCTTCTTGATTGCTTATCCATTGTACATGCTCCTTCATAATGTTTCTGATCTTTCTTATTCCCTTACAAGAGGTCAACCAGATTTTTCTTTGGATTTTATCAGGAATCTCTAAATGTATAGCAAGAACACCAGACTAGATGTGGCAGCAATATTCTAAGCCTGGATGAATGGTAGACTTATAAATAAGTAAAAGATTCTGGAGAGAAAAATTGTCTTGCACGACACAATGAACCAACATGCTTAGCAGCAGACCTAACAATGGATTCAATATAATCTTTCCACTTCATGTCAGCCGAGTTGGTTATTTTGTTTTATGACATATCAACCTCAGTGGGTCATTTAATACCAACAATTTTTATTGCTGGTAATATTTTATTATGTCAAAAATCTATTTCTGGTATTTTTTTCTTCCTCAAAAATGTATAGCTAGCAATATTATTTAAAAAAATGTATTGCTAGTAATAGTTTTTTTTCCTTCAAAAATTTATCTCTGTTAATAATTTTTTTACAAAGTATTTCTGGTATTAAAACCTATTTTTACACTTTCATAATGCTTTTTACCTCAGTCCGGGGGTTAACTATTTGCCCATAGCTGGGACCCTAACAAGTGCTACCACCCCGGGTCAGGGTGGACCTGGGAACACCAGCAATTAAGAGGTGGTTCCACGCTCCTCAAAACCTCCTGATCACAGGCCTTGCTGTTGGACGTAGTTTATCATCTTACCCAGGATGCGGATGTAGTTTATCACCATACCCAGGATAGTCATGTCAGCTGAGAATGTTAGCCTGAGAAGGTGCAATGGGTTACTCTCCTGGATGCTAGCATCAGCCATGCTGATGGAAGGCAAAAAAGAGTCTCTCTGATAATTAATAGAAAGAAGTTTCATTTTGGAGGCATTCATATGAGTCATAGGTGGATGACAAATTAGACATTATTTTATACAGAATGATAAAGACGGCAATTTGTTTCACTTTGGTATAAGAAGTTGTATCAATTGAACTTACTTTTGTTTTATGAAGTAGAAGTTCAATCTACAATCAAGATAGACAATTATAATCTGCTTGTTTGTTTCTTCAATGGCATAACAACATCCTTATGGGTCATTTAATAACAAAATTTAATTTTCTTGGGTGCATTAGTAATTTTTTTTTTCTTTTACAAAAATGTATTGCTGGTAATTTTTTTACTATAAAACTGTATTACTAGTATTTTTACTATAAAAATTTATTTTTATACTTTCATAGTGTCTTGATCCCAGTTTGGGGGTTCACGATTTAACCCTAGCAGGGACCCTAACTGGTGCAACGATCTCAGGTCAGGGTTGACCTTGAGAACAGCAATTAAGAGGTGGTTCCATGCTCCTCAAAATCTCCCAATCAGAGGCCTTGCTGCCAGTTGTAGTTTATCGTCATACCCAGAATAGACATTGCTTGTGCTAGAGATCCATACTGAATACAAGAAAATATGCAGAAACAATAAGCAGTTAATACTACACTTACCATTAGAGATGACATGAACAGATACTACACATTAATCCCAGGCAATGGCCAAGGAGTGAAGAAAAGCATAACTAGAGTAGCATTGGCTGCTCAGTTAATAAATGCCAAATTTTTCCCTATAAGCAAATGGCTAATATTACCATTTGGTCTATCAAACCATTGGGCCAGTTGGAACGAAACAGAGGGACTTTAATATGAGTTATAGCTAGCTAACTCCTTCATTGATTAGCCAGCCTAAGTCAGGCAATATCTACTGAGAAGTACAATCGTATGTCATGAGTGAAAGCTTAATAGGAAACACTTGAAAAATACAAAGCAATTAATGAGTCAGATAAGAAACATGTAAACAAATTAGAACATTGTTTCATACAGGTAGTTAAAGAAGGCAGCCTGTTATCTAGAAGAAATATCTACACCAAATTTGTTCCCCTGTAATCACTGAAGCAATGATGGCAGTGTGTAAACACACAATACAACTCTTGCCTAAGCTCCCCCCCCGATCGACCAATGATTACCACATGTTGCATTTCAATTCCCGTTAGTGTGCAGCGAAAACTGAGCCTGCTGAAATACTAACAAGGTGAAAGATAAATGCCCCATCAAGTAAATAATAACACTAACTGTGTATCCTATAGTATATAGGTAGATGTTTTATTTGGGGCTTTGAATAGGTGGATAGGTAGATAATTGTGTAGAAATTCTATGTCAGCTCTTCCTCCTATAAACTCCTTTGCCTATCTACACATCCTGACATGTGGCTAGCAATACAGCAATGGGAAGTAGACAAGTCTATCTCCTACCAAGCATGATCAAGAACTCCCTCTGATCTCAAGCATTACTGTTAATCTGGTTTTGTTGTCACTTGATCGCCCAAAACCCCTCATCCACTTTCTAGCATTCCTGTTCCCCTTCAGTCAAACTTAATATCACTTCAGAAACTATACCTTTTCAACTTCAAAATGAACTTATTTTCAAGTAAAAAAATTAATCAAAATTAATTGAGAATAAGGAGGATTGAGGAAAGGATAAAAAAAAAATGAACAGGTTTCAGGAAGAGAGAAGTTGGCGATGTTGCATTTAAATTTTTGAAGATTTAGTTATCAGGGAAGCAAGTAAATGGAAGGGAGTTCCACAGGTTGTAAGTTCAAGAAAATGTTGGAGTAGAGGAGGCAGTTGCATTTAGCTATTTCAACAGTAAAAGGGTGGGACCTAGATGCCAATTTAGTAGCATGCTTAAATTTATGTAGTCAAGGAACCAGAGAAAGAAACTCATCAGAGCAAATGCCATGAAAATATTTGTAGAAAAAACAGAAGGAAGCCTCGTCACATTGGTGAGAAAGTGACTGAAGTCTAGATGCCTGGTCATGGTAGATTTGTAAATGTCCAAGATGGATTTTGACATGACACAGTGACCCAACTTAAAAAAAAAAACAAATGTAATAAAAGGAAATCCATTACCTTCATTAGGTATTTGCACTGATTTTGTTCCAATTCAGTCAGTAAAGAGGGTACAAAAGCACTTGATAAATTCTTCAGTTGCTTGTTAACCTTAGCAATGATAATATTTTTTAAATAAAGATTTTGCTTTAAAGATTTTCTCTATTTAAAAATTCAGTCTAATTTATTTATTTTTGTTTGATAGTAAAGTTTTCTTTTAACTGTTTCGGTCATTGTGCTCTCTGGGCTTCTTCTGGTATCTCATATTGTTCATATTCACTAATTCAGTGGTTTCCCAAATTTTTTTCTCTGGGATGCATTTTCAGAAGGAAAATTTTTCATGCCTCACAAAAATTTAAGTGATAAAAAGTCCATTTAAAAATAAAACAGAGGTTTAAAGGGAGTTAACTGAGGATTCTAAGTCAGAACATTATCACTGATAACTCTCTCCTCCAATTTGCAGAGCCTAGTTACTATATTTTTAATACTTGATATAATGCAAAATATCACATAAAATCAGTCAATAATTATTTATAACTATTTATACTGGGACTTGTGCATGCAATTACAAGTAACCCATAATAATATTTTAAATTTTGAAATATTTATTTTTGACATATGAATTTTTTGAAACTGTTTCTAAATCTTTGATTATCTTTCAATTACACCTGCTATGATCTTTTGCTGCACCTATGAACAATGCCACACAATTTGGGGACCACTGCACTAATTAAATCTTGACCTCTTCAAGTCTGGAGTTAGCTGTTATCTTTCCTGCATAGCCCCAATAACTTCACTTCTTGCTCTTTTCTTACGCTCATACAACAGTACACAATAACTCTCTGCCTTGAGTGGCTCTTGTGCTTTTTATTGGATGAACATCAGTATTGCTCAACTATTGCTCACACTGCTTCCACTGAGTTAGTGATTGAACTCACAATTACTGTCACCAAATTAAAACCAACCACCAGACAATTGCCCCATGGGACAATCCTGAGTCTAGAACTTGGAACCTTAAAACTATTCTGCTTGCTGCTGATATTGCTACTGCTTGTGCTTCTCTTTAATTACTACTGCTGCTGTTAAAGCATTGCTGCCATTTCTTTTTATTTATTTATTAATTGCTTGTATATTGTATTTATTTCTATCTTAGGCTACAAAAACCTCAGTAGGTCTAATTTAGTTCATTCCACAGGGATTGGTGACTACCCTTTTCCCTCCATACAGGATCAACCATGATTGATTTCATTGTCTCATCCTTAATTACAGCATTTTGATGTTCCTCCAGCTTTACATTTAGGAGATGGCTAATTTTTATCTTTGCATTCTTTGCCACAAGTGCTGGGTATGGAATACATACTTTTGTTCTCGATCATGTTCTCCCACTTGTGATTTTTCTATTCAGTTAAGTTGCTTCTTTCAGGTCAAAATATTTGGAAACAGCTTCACCCTACAAAACAAACCTGTGCCTGTGAACTGATTAAATAGAAATGCTTTTATCAAAGATACTTTCATCATTTATTGTTTTAAAAGATTGTGAGATGGACAAAAGTTACCAAGTGGAAGATTTCAAGAATTCTACTTACTTTAATGGCCATTTTGTAGGCAAAGAAAAACAGTTTGACAACTGTGTCCCAACTAAAACTAACAGACACAATGGCTTTGGCAACTCTAAGAAATGTGTTGTGCGAATCTCCTGGTTCGACTCTTGAAATCAATCTGTAAAGAGAAATGATATTGAATATAAGGTTAAATTTGGAAACATATTTCCTGCCACAAAAGGTGCTTTCAAAAGAATGCCTTATATAAAAAAAAAAAAAAAAAAAATCACCTGGCAACTTTATACCCCCGATTGCTGGGTTACTGATACCAGACTAACACCTGAACACACTCTTTTGAGATATTTGTCCTTTGACAACAATTATGTTTCATTACCAAATTATGATAGATTGTAAAAATACATTTTTTTTTTAACACATTAGACACCTGATGATCCTTAAATGAAATATACATAATTATAAATGATTAAATTATGATTACAAATTAAAATAATGTTAAATTATAAAAAAACAAAGGTTGAATCACCAGTTGAATTGTACTCCTTCCATTCCAAAATAAGTGGCTAGATTTGCATTATAAAAAGAGTGGAATTAGTTACTTATTGTGAAATAATGTTACTATTTTTAATGTGAAATAGTAGTACAATTTTTTCTAAATATTCCTTGACAAATTAAAAGGTCAAGTCATAAAGTAGGAAATACATTCAACTAAAAATTATGTAAATAATTATGTTTAGAATTATTTCAAAGCCAAAAAGAACTTTATGTGCCCCTGCAATATACACGAGGCCTTTGAATAGGCACACATGACACAGGAAGTGAGAAAATGTCATGGATGATTATAAGTGAACACCAGTAAGACAAAAGTGAACAGATTTTGATAATTAAAAAACCATAAGAGACTGTTCACTTCTTTAGATTTTACATGAACCCTTCATAAAAGCACTTCATCATTTCTTGTGAAAAATATTTTGGCAAACATGGGCAAAAATGCCTGTAATACAGAGTGTCAAAAGGATGGTTTTATTCCTGTGACACCACTATTATTATTATCATAACAACTACCTTCACTCCTCGCCAATGTTTATTGTTTAAAAAAAACAATGGTTAGAAATGGAATAAAAATTAAAGACATGAAAGTGAATTTATACATTTTCTTTCTGTAGTTTGTGTTCACTCATGAGAGAATCAATTTCATTGTCTTTCTTGTCAGTTCTTTGATGTTTACTTTGGTAACCATAAATCTCTCTTGTCCTCTTCTCCTTTCCCTTTCTTCATATCCATTTCTTGTCCCCTTCTTCTTCTCCTCTTTTCCCCTTCTCCTTTCCTGAAACCGAACTCCACAGGCAAAATTTCTTCTTGTTTGGCTATGGCTTTTATTGTTCAGTGATGTTGTTCTATAATACCATTTCCACTAGGTATATAAGCTGCTCTAAAATATCTCCTGATACTTCATTTTCTCAGCATTTCTTGAAAACTTTCTGAGCAAAATATGCTGTGCTATTATCCATGAGGACTTTTCACTTGGTCCCTTTAAAAAAAAAAAAAGTTGACTTTTCTGTAATTATGGCTGCCATTTCTGTCTGAATTTCAATCCAAATAGCTATCCAACCATGTCCACAGTCAATGATTGAAAGGTATAATCTTCCTCTGTAGGGGGTCACATATAGTGCTAACCATGTCCGATTTGTTCTCCAGTTTCATGTCTGCCTAATGTGTGATCAATGAAGTAGCCTCTATCACATTCTCTGACCGTCTTTTGAATGATCTCCCTAGTGACATCCAGCTGTACCTTCCATACCAAAAGAAAGTTCTGTTGACCCCCACGTGATGTCTGTCACATAACTCCTTAACTTCCGTGTTGTCTAGGCAGCACATCACAGTTATACTTCCCTTGTTGTCAATCATCTCTAGCTATTTCTTTTCACCCGCATCAGGGTATCCACTTTATTTCTGTCAGATGGTAACAAACTCACACACAGCGCTTTAGATTAAACTCAACCATTAATTTACCAAGAATTCCAAGCCATCTCTTTATGATCATTTCTGCAGCACCATTGGACTAAATTCTTTAAGGTAATCAGAGTTGCCAACTGAAGACTGTAGTTGAATTGGTTTTAATTTCCATTTCGTTTAATCCCCACCTTAATGCTAGATTAGAGTGGCAAGTTCTCAGTGTTCTAAAATGTCAAATTCTGTGTTCTTCCATGATGGTAAATATCAATTTTCAGTTCTTGAAACAAAAATGGATAAAAAAACAGACTTGTGTATAAACAGTAAACTGTACAAATATATAGCCTACTTATATAGGCATCTTTATTTTTTTTGTGCTTCAGTGATTTCTGATGGTCCACAAGGGTGTCCCCTTCAAGCCCCATCTACAGTGTATTGATAAAAACTGCAAAACCATTTATTGCCATTATAATAAAAAAATTGTCACAGAAAGCTGGCTCTTCAGCTCTGTATTTTGCTGAAAGTGTGCACCCACCAAGTTTGCTAGCTTTTCAGTTACTCATCAGGAAAGATAATTATGCCAGCATTTAAAAATCTAATTTAATTACAAAACAACGCACATGGGTATTTGCCCTGCAGCTACCAGTAGTAACCAGTTTGACCAGGTTAATATCAGGATTTAGGTTGTGGCCCCACGTTATTTATAGAATGATATGTTGCAGTAATATAGGTTGTAGCACTTGCACATAAGTGACTGATTTCACTGTATATTGCAAATTTATTGATTCTGTTGGATTCCAGATTAAGAATTTTACATTTCACCATCGGAATATTTTATTTTTTAGTAGGGAAAATCCCATTTTCCGTGATTTACTGTGTTTTCCATTTTCTACTTTTTTCTGCTCTATGCTAGATTGATTCCTTTCAACACAGCATTCAATTCAGTGACATTGATAGGATTGAAATCATTTCTCTTCCTCAACTATACTATCCTCAGCTATGATGCCACCAATTTTCACACAAACACCTATAATAATAGTACTGGCATCACACCAGACCATACCACACCTTTTTCTGTCTTGGGCACATGCCATTTACCCTGAACTGGATTGTCCCTTTTTACTTCCTCCATGATGCCATTCATTATGGAAATTGTATCTTGGTCTGTATAGTCACCTCAGGCTGTTCCCTCAGCATGTCGTTTCATATAGCCACATGCTACCCTGAGCAAACTAGCAAGGAGATAGTGACCCACCAATTTCCCACATATTGAAAATAAATCTCACCTAGTCAATTCATCACGGACTTTTGGGGACTGCATTTCCTCTTCTGAAGACCAGGTTTTCCCTTGTTGTCTTTTCTTTATGTCCTTTGTCTAACGATTCTGCAGATTTTTCTATCATTCGACCAAATCTCTTCAAATAGCATATCACTTCCTTCACATTTGAAATGGATTCATCCACCAAAATGACATCAATATAAGAATTGGTGGCATTCTTTATCTTATTTTCTCCTCTTTTGTGCATGGTTCTAAGCACAGCCGTCATCATCTTATGTACAGAATATGATCCAAACCCTACTCGGGTTAAACAATACATACGCTCCATGTATATGGCCTTAGTTATTCTACTACATCCACCAGTCTGCCAGTGGGTGGCATGCCACTAGCGCTTACCACTGGCGGCCTGCTGTTGGACCACCAGCATGTTCATCTTGGCAATGTTACCACTTGCTGATCGCTAGTGGCACACTGTTGGCCCGCTGGTGGCTACTACCAGCGGACTGCTGGCATTGTCATTGGCAGGTCACTAGCATCTTGCATGTAAGGATGTAGTTGCAAGTAGGCACTTTTCAAATCAACAAGGGTTTTGGGGCCAGTCATTTAACACCAGTCTTGCATAGTATCCGAGGAAATGTCTATGGTATCACTACCTGTGTGACATGCCACATGGGTAGTTAGTTCCCTAAAGTCCAGTACAGGTCTGACTGATTTTTTGTGGGCTTAACTACTGCCATCAGCAGTAACACTCCTTCTCTCACTTCCTCCTTTCACAGCACAAGTATACCCTCGTCTATCCACCATTCCAGTTCCTTCTCAAAATTCTCAATATTCTGACTAAGTTATTGTAACATCTAATTTTGTTTTTTAATATTGGAGGCTTTTCATTTCAAATACATTTCACCACCCATTTTGACACCATCAAATTTTGCTGAGAAATCTCTATGCTCTTGGTATCTGTCCATTTTGGTGCTACTCCAATTGCACATTCCCATGCACATTGCATCTGACCAAATTTCCTATACCTTTGTCAAAGAAAACACCATTCAGATGCTCAATCAAATTCAGTTCAATTACAACATCGATATCTTTGATCATCTTATTGATCACTATAGCTTCTGCCATTAAGCAGAGGCCATTCGCTGTCAGCTCAATTGTGCTGATCCCTTTGCATCCAAACTCTCTTCCATCCATGGCTATTAAATATTTCATTTCCTTCCATTCCAAATGGTTGCTAACTTTGGTGTTATTAGTGTGGTCATGAATCTTGTATCCACACGGGCTCTTGATTTCTTATCTCCAACCATAGTCGACAATCACCTGTAGTGAACTGCTGCTGGCTCAAGAGGGTAGCTACTCACACAGTAGGCCCCCCTTTCACCATTTTTTGGCAGCAATATCGAGTAATATGGTCTGACACACCACATCTGTAACAGCTGGGATCTTGCTGAGATGGTGCTTTACATTTACAAATGTTTAATCAAATGAGCCTCCTACCCCTTACACCAAAAACACTGACTCCTGAATTTTGTTGTCGCCAGTGGATCCAAGTTGCGTGCTCTATTAACACACACTATCAAAGACCTTGAGCTTACTAATAAAACACTCATTTCCATGTTCTCAATACCAAGCAGTTGCTGTAGGGCTGTTGACATATCACTTAGAAATCCAGTAACAAATGCTAGTTTAACAATCGATTCAAGACCTCCTCCCCACGAATCCTGCCAATCTCCTAATGTTATTGGCATAAGCATCGACCGATTCTCCAATTTATCTGATTTCCTTCATGATTGTTAAAACATTGGCTAATTGACAATTGATTCAAACTTTATAAAATGGTAAATAAGGATTTCCTTATAGTTAGTTAACATATTTTAATAATTTAGTAAATGTTTATAAATTTATGAATAAAAATTTTTTTTCATATTTATTTCTTTATAAATTGGTAAATGATGAATATTGCATTGCATTACTTTTAACTGTATTAGTTTTTAGAATGGAAATATAAAATTATTCTTTTAAATAAACAATCTAATAAAGTGTTTAATATTTTTCTTGTAAATTCTCAGGATTCAAAAAAAAAAAAAAAAAAAAAAAATGTATAAATTCAATTTTATCATATGTTTAGGCTTTATTCCAATTCTAATCATTGCTTTTTAAAACAATAAACATTGCAGAGGAGTGAAGGTAGTTAAAATAATAGTGGAGTCAAGGGAAAAATTATCCTTTTGACACTCCACCATATTGCAGGCATGAGGTTCCATGTTTACCAATATTTTATCACTCCCAACCCCCTGTGAAAAACACTTCATCACTTCCTATGAACAAATACATATGTTGGCTTACATTCACTCTCACTACTTCTTGAGTTCTGACATTAAGAGACAAAGAAGAGAAAGAAGAAAAAAATATTATTAACCTAAAGAGTCCTAAAAACCGAGAAGATTCTTTTCCTTTCCTGCGAGAACAAAAATTTGTGGTGAGCGAGCAATAATTTCAGCGTGAGGAAGATTACTACTAGCTCCTAGCAGAACTTAGGATTGGCCAGGCATGGAATGAATTTGAATGTTCACTGATCTACAATTCTGGCTTTTGTTTTTTTCTTTTACAAAACAGCATGCACAAAATGTGGGGTTGGGGTCATTTTGATCATCAATGACATCCTTTTCTTCTGCATGCATAGATTGATTTTTTCATCATTAGGCTACCAACATATTGATATTCCAACATTATATGAATTTTCAGTTCTCTCAGACATACACATTTCACACACATTCAAAGACTCTATATATATATATATATATATATATATATATATATATATATATATATATATATATAATTACAGACAACACTTACTCTTGTAATTTTTGATCTCCATCAAGTTCATCACCAATACATCGGAGGGCCCGTCCAATTTCTTGAAGCTGTGCCATAGGAGGACCTGAAAGTAAACATAAGTTTCATATGAAAGCAGAATTTGTATACTTTAGCATACCATAACTTCTTTTCTTTCTCAGGTGAAAATTAGTTTCAGTAATTGGTAACATATCTTAATGACAAATTGCCCTGAACTAATACTGAAAAATGAAAACATAAATAAAATTACTAGTACTATCTCCAGTCAAGTTTGGCTATGACAGTAAAAGCCTTTGCTGCAACTGCCAAAGCTAAACGTTTGTTTCTCACTTGTAAAAACAATCCCCTACATTCTTCTGTCAACAATTATGGAATGCCAGTCAAGATACTTGGTTACTGAGAGTAAAAGGGAGAAATGGATTCATGCTTTTCCAAAGAGCATTCATGCCAAGTGGAATTCAGCAAGCCCAGCTGAAATTCATTCAGCTTTCAGTTTTCCATGCTGATTATTGTTACATTACATCATCCACATATCCCAAAGCATACAGCACCTGGTAATCCCAAGTGATCACCCATCTAGGCACTGACCAGGCTGGACATTGCTTAACTTCAGTGATTGGATGAGAATAAGTGTTTCAATGTGATATAGCCATAACAACAGGAATGCTAAAAAGTTAATCGAAAAAACAATAGATAAACCACCTGGTATTTTCAACACCTTCAGAAAACAAAAGTTGTCTCTAATTTTAAAAAAAGATAAAGTTCATAATGAATACTATGGCCAATTAATGTTTTTATCCAATAAAATTTCTTTAGAAAACAGTCAACTAAATGAGAAAAAAAAAGTAGTGGTGGTAAGTGATAAAAGTGTAAGCTCTAAGTTTTTGAATGCAGGACTCTCTACGTGATTCAGCACTCCTCATGCGCACAGGCTGTTCTCAGTGTGGTGGTCATTGCCGCGGCTGTTGGACACGTAGCAGTGGTAAGTGGTAAAAGTGAATGCTCTAAGTTTTTGAATGAAGGACAAAAAAAAAAAAAAAGAAGCTCAATGGTTAAAACTTTCAACTAATGAGGGCTAGAAATTTCACATTCAGAAAACAATATAAGAGTCATAATCACAAGTGGCAGTGCCAAATTTAGGACAAATGAGGCCCTCTTAATTAACCCCCACCCCACCCCCACACTTCGGCCAATGGGAAGTAGGGGCTGTGCTTAAACACACCTAAGCACAATGGTGAATATGGCACTGAAAATTGGCAACATACATATGAAAATATTTGGGAGTGAAATTCAACCAGAAGTCTACACATTCACATTATGATTATTAGTTTGAGCAGACATTGCTTTTGTCTCCTCCTTTCATCACATTACTAAAAATACCTCAATTCAAAATGCCTTCTGGGAGGAGAGCACCCCCCCTCCTGATCTCTTTATCAAAGAATAATCAAAACCCTGTTGCTTTATCATTGCTACTCTTCTACTCATTCTCTTTGCTATTCTACCAATTAACCTCCTACCACTTATCTGTTATCTCAAGTTTAATGGCAATGACTTGTACCTCATATGTCCAGTCAAGAGACAAATGGAAGGTCAATGTAATTTACAAACCTACTTTTTTTTTCTGTCTATATTTCTGAGATGAGGTATTATGTACACTATTTACATTATGTGAACTATTGTCCTCATCTTTGTCGCCATATTTCTGAGATGAGGTATTATGTACACTATTTACATTATGTGAACTATTGTCCTCATCTTTGTCGCCATATTTATTACAACGTTTCAGCCGTTGTATGCTCGTGCCTCCTTCAGGTGGTTGAAATAAACGGTTCAGTTCGACATTCCAACCACCTGAAGAAGGCCGGAGCGTACAACGACCGAAACGTTGTGATAAATATGGCAACAAAGATGAGGACAATAGTCCAAATAATGTAAATAGTGTACTTTCTTTTTCTAGGCTGATTTCTTGCTTTTTTTTTATTTTATTTCCTTTTATATAAAAGGGTCCTACTGTACGATGTAACCTGACACACCTACATAAGCACCCACATGTCTGCCTTACAATTGTAGCCATAATGAAGGACAAAAAGCCCCCCTCCTCCCAAAAAACTCGACACAACCAAGAGATAGTGAATGTAACACAATCCAATATGGTGCACACCTGGTGAAGAAACAACGCTGTCTTCCTCGTATAGTGTCGCACGACGATGCAGTAACCACGAAATGCTTTATGCCGGATCAACGTAACCCGAGGCCCTTCTGTATGTATCTAGCTATTTTTTTTTTAAGCATTTCACTCCAAGCAAGGCAATAAAGTCACTAGGATACAAGGGGTTACTGAGTGATAAAGAATATGAGAAAAAACTACCATTAAAGAGAGAGAGAACAATAAAAGAACAAGAATTAAGAAGACAAAAGATAATGATTCACATTGCATTTAAATTTTGAAGATCAAACTTAACTGGAAAACATGGAGCCAGAAGAGAGTTCCACATTCCAACAAATATGATAAAATAATAAAACTGTTAGCATAAAACTTCCAGTTACATCTAGCCATTTCAACTATAACATGAGACATTGCCATTTATTAGGATATGTGTGAAAGTTTATGATAAACCACAGACTTGAACAGCTTAACATTGTAGTGATCAAGTAAGTAGTCTCTTCAGAGCTGGTTCCCAAAGCATCAGTTTGAGAGCTGCTGCTTCTCTAGTAGAACTTACATCTCAACAATGGAATACAAAAGGAACAAGGGTGTTTTGCTACAATGGGTGTGGCATGGTGGGTCTTAGCTGTGAAGGTTAGAACTGGTGGAACTGACGAATGTAGCTCACCTGAGCACTTTCCATAAAAATAGGGATAAAGAATGTAAGGTGGAAAATAATTCATTACCCCAGGGACGTTGAGACACTTTTGAACTATCAAGACTGAAAAGTGAAGATTGGGAAATTCCTACCCATTTATGGCAGCAGTACTCTATCTTTGGCCTGATCTGCCTCTTGTAAATGTAGGGCATAGCAGGAGGAGTTAGATATTTATTGGAGTAGCACAGGGAACCCGACCTTCTTTCTTTCATTTTTAAAAAAATTGATCATATGTACGAGTTCCACTTGAGGCACTTAACGTATTAGTCCTACGTGAGAGCACACCCATTTATTGGGATATGCGAAAATTCAGAGCCCACTCAGAGATGACGGAACTCCACTAGTTTTATTTTCAAGGCAGTGAATGAAACCAGCCAGCTTTCCACTACAGACATAATGAGTTCAGTTTTAAATTCCAATCACCTGAAGAAGGCCAGAGAATACAATCACTGAAACATTGGAGAGATGACAATAAAGATGAGGACAACAGTTCAAACAATGTAAATAGTGTAAATACCTTTCCACCCCTGTTGAAGTAACTCAACTTCTTTATTAAAGTCTCCTTCAAGTTAACTAATCCAGAACATTCTGAGGGGAAACCACCTGCATACAGATGGATGGTGAATTGTGGAGGTACACAAAAATAGGACATAAAACAAGGTTGCATTTTTCCTCTTGATTCAATCTCTACAAAAAGGCCATCCTAAGGGACCTATAGACATCTACCAGGATTTATTATCAGTGATGAAACTACTGATGACAGACAAAGAAAGAAAAAAAGAAAACTACAGGAACACTTAGAAAAGGTAGTAAAGGAAAGGCTGAAGAAAATACTAACCATCAATTGCAAAAAGGCAGAATAAATGGTTGTTATCAAGAGAAAATCTCAAGAGGCAAATCGGAGATGTCAACATCAGTCAGGTATTTTAACCGAGAATGGAAAATGTGATGCCGAAATCTGAATGTGCATTGGGTTAGTGAAATATGCATTACATAAACTCAACAAAGTATTAAGAAACAGGAAAATTTCATTAGAAACAAAGAAAAGAATACTGAACTGCTGCATAATATCTAATTTTTAACATTAGAATAGAGAAAGATGACTTTCAGAAACTAAAAGTATTAAGAAACAGGAAAATTTCATTAGAAACAAAGTAAAATGCTTAACTCTTATGTAATATCAATGCTCTTAAAGGTATTATTTGCTTGACAATCTTCCCAAAGATAAAAAAAGAACTGGAGACAACAGAATATGTGGTTCTACAGAAGGATACTGAGAATTTCATGGATGGAGTGAGTATATAACAAAGAAGTGTAAAAGAAAATGATTAACAAAAATCACAATTAAAATCAGAAAGAGCTAAAATTTTTTGATTACAGGAGAGGCAGGAAGGCTTGGAAAATTTGACACTCACAGGGCATATCAAAAGCAAGAGGGATAGAGGAAGGCATTTGGCCACACCTACCTGTCAAGTTTGTATGAATGGATGGCGGATTGAAGAGGCCTGAGGCTTTGCAAAGGAAGAAATGCTGCTAAGGGCCACAAGAGATAGGAAGTTATGGAGCGCCATGATCACCTGCATCTTGAAGGGACATAATCCATAGAATAACTGTTGAGACCACCATAACTTTCCAAGGATCTCACATTCATTCTGTTAGTCAGCGTCAAATCATTAATACATACGAGGTACCACCAAAATATGTCCCAATAGGTACCATAATTTATGGAACATATACATATAATAATAGGTACCATCAAAATAAATGTATTCCCCCCCCCCAAATGAAAGCAAAATAAAAAATTTAAAAATTTATAACTCTTTAAAAATTTGTCAAAAAACAGGAATATCCAATTCAAATGAATTTTTCAGTACTTAGTAATTAATGAATAAATGAATTGTATACTGAACAGGTCACTTTATTAGGAAAATTTGTGGGAATGCCATTTTGAGAGTAAGTTTCACTTGTCCTGTACACCTTTTGAATGCCTTAAGTTCACCTTTTAATTGGAGGAGTGGGGAATGTATAATTTTTTTTTAGTTACATACATATATAAAGAGCAGTTGTCTGTATATGTGTATGTGTCTGGCTAAAACTAAGAAAACTATAATAATTAACAACAAAATAAATATGTCATCCAACCCACCTTTTTACCAAAATTTATCATCGTATTATTTGTATTTGCTAAGAAATTTTAAAATTAAAAATACATAATAATTGTATTAGAATGCATTCAAAATTCTCAGAATTAAAAAGTAAAAACAAACACAAATAATTATTATTCCTGTTCATTTTTACTTTTAATTCTGCTGATAATTTCGAAACACTATAGTAAAATTTGACCCAATATTTTTTCAAGTCCCACGGTTTGGGCCAGATATTTTTCTATGTTTTTCTTGGTTTGTTACTAACATAAAAAAGTAAATAATTTTAAATTGTTTTATTAAAGTAAAGACTATAGCGAGCCTTATTTTTTCATAAATCAATTTAAATTTGTAAAACAAATATTCAACTTGACTAAATATTGCCTGTATGTCTGTCTCTCCTAACTTTTAGTTAACTAAAAAATTTTTCCTTTCAAATACAAATATAACTTGAAATTTAATCATAATCAATTTTTAAAACTAAATTCTCAATGTATCTTGCTTCTACTCCCTTTCAAAATAGTAATTCATTCATTTATGGAGAAATGTTTGCTTCTTTCACTTTAAAAAAAAAAATCACTAAAATAATGTTTAAAAGTAAAACTTTATTTACTTAAAGAAAATCTAAATTTCCTTCCAACATA